GCGTAGTAGGTGCTCAGGTAAGTAATGGGCATGAGCTGAGGCAGACGATGGCTAAATGTCGCCCCAGGTACAGCTTCGCCAGAAAGTTACTCTGCCCTCTGCGCTCAAGATACTTTCAAACAGGTTCTGCTCTGGGCTCTTCTCCTTCTCTGCATTCTCGATGATCTCCCGTCGCTCACGTTCTGTAATCCCCGGCCCCTTAGACTGGATCTGCTTTCAATCTTAGGCGCTCTGCCCTCGGCCGCCCTGTGGTAGCAGTTGTCGATCTCTTGTAGGAGGAAGTTGAGCTCGGAGGTGAGACGAGTGGAGGCCAGGAACTCCCATCCAAGGGCAGGTATGTACATGATGCCTGCGAAGGCCAGCAGAGCGTAGGGCAGAAACTTGTGCTCGAACAGGGAGGGCCGAAGATCGGGGTCGACACCAGGAACAGCATCCCGAAGCTCTGTCCAGCAGTAACCTCTGGCATACAGAGCCTGGTCTCGGGTGAAGTTGTGTGGGGTGTAGCAATATATAGATTCCTCTAAAAGAGGAGATAGAAAATCATAAGAATTCCACTTCACAAAATAATCGGGATTTTGGCATAACAATTAATTAGATACCACTAGTGTTACCATCATGCTGTACCAACACAAACGAAGATATTTTTGCCCAGAAAGTCATTGAAGAAAATGTTTAAATATTCCATGTGACTACAGTGGCTCAAGTATAAGTTTATCTAGCGACGAGAATACTTTTTGTGCGAAAAAACAAACAAAAATAACGACTTTATTCGACTATTCCTTTTCTTCCTTGTAGTCCTGAGACGAGAGTTCAAGAGATTTTTACGACGCATGCGCGAGAATTGCGAACTCCTTAAACTACTTCAGTTCAGTTCTCGCACATGCGTCGTGAAAATTATTCAAATTAATACTGTATATCAATCACAACTGACTCTGTCCAGGAAAATCTGTCTTATCCCGCAGGATTTGTTTCTTGTAATGAGCTTTCATCAGGTTTCTATAAAGTAGAATGGGCTTACTGCATAGTGTAAGGCAGCACAGGCCAATCTATTGATGAATCAGTGATGAAAACAAATGCTACATTTGTCTGTGCCAGCTGGACAAAGTCTGAGGTAATTCTTTCGCAGCTACTGTAACTCCTATAGACGCCTCCACCTTACTCTGGGTCTCAGATTACACTCCTGCACAGAATCGATAGTGTAAGTTAAGCAAGATAATAGGTTATAGTCGGTGTGTCTAGATGGGAAAGATCTCTTAATGGTTACAGGCTCAACTTTTTCTTTCAGTACTTTCAAGTTTCAGACTATTCACTCGAGGGCTTGGAGCCAGAGAGGGGGTAAGTGGCATTTTGGGCGAATATGAGTTTTTTATATCAAAAATAAAGGTCTCGATGAGCTCTATCCAATGGTGCCAAAATATACCTGTCTGAGATCAAAATGTATTGAATAAACAACAAAAAAAGGCTTATCTGACGTATTTGATTATTTTTTTTTTTTTTTGAAAATGTTTTAGAACATGTTCATTGTTTTATATATGCCATACATTTTTCTTACTTAAATAGTCATTCATGTAAGTATGCCTGTGGTTGCATTGTTTGTGATTCAAGGTTAATAATACAGGTAATTGAAGTATGGTCAAATTTTTGTTTTGTCTCTCCTGTACAGTTTGTTAAAAGCCACTTACGTCCCTCTGGCTCCAAGCCCTCGCACTGTTCTTGCATTTTATCCTATAAACACCTCAGCCAACATGACAATGAGGGTTTGACCTTCACTAATCCTCCTTTCTGATATAATAAGTGTTCCTAATGAAAAATATTGTAATGTAGTAACGCTCAAATGATGTGAAAAGGCAATTTAAAGTGCAGTCTCACAATTGTTCGAAGTGTAAATGTTTGTATATCGCCAACAGATCTAACTATACTGCATGTTTTTGCCCAGCAGGGTTCTCGTTCAGTTCACAGCCAGTTGGTGCTGCTATGCAGTAAGACTGACTCAGCGTTTAGCGTAACCCGCCTCCCTCCTACCACAACCCCTCTTTATCTCTCTCTCTCTCTCTCTCTCTCTCTCTCTCTCTCTCTCTCTCTCTCTCTCTCTCTTCCTACTTAATCACCCTACAATCTATCTAGAAACAATCTTTTAACCACTCCTCTGCTGTATACTAGCGGACAACAGGAATATAGAAAGTCTTATAGAACTATTAACAATGGGTCAACTTAAAAACTTGGCAAAAATCTGGCACTCTCACCAGTGCCATCCAAGTGTAAATCCAAAATATTTCTAATTTAGAGTGTAATACCATATCACAAAAAATGTCCATAAGTATTAAGTGCATTCCTCAATCTAAGCATGTTTCCTTCCATACATTTTTACGAAAATGGTAGGATTTTGCATAAAAAATGCTGGACGGAGACACAAGATAAAGAATAAAATGCCAAAATGTTCACACTCAAATGAAGTGTATAAATGGTTTAATGGAAAAGAAGCACATAAAGTATTAAGGAGACACATTCACCAAATAAATCCCTTTAAGTGCATGTGACTGAATAATTTGCTCAGATTGTAGGTTATCATCACCGTTTCGTTGCTCATTTGCTCAAGTCTGCAGTAGCTCAAGTCTTCAGAAATCCCTAACTCTTTATAAAAACAAATGGCTTTCAGAACTCTTGTCACTGAATATTGTAAGGTGTTCATAATGTACGTTTGTCCAAATAATGCGTAACACCACTAACCTGCAAAGTTCCGTGTGAAAACTAATGTAACCAGCAGAATAGGGATGATGACAGTCCCTATGGTGACGACCCGGTCAAAGGGCAACTCTAGTTTGAGTTGCACCATGAGACCTGCGAGAACCCGCCTTTCTCATCCTGTGTGGAACCTGGCAGGATCAACTCCTTCAGCTTCTCACCCGCAAGCAGAGCCGTGGCCATGTCCAAGTTCTGCTCGAAGATGTTCTGCATCCGGTCCCAGCAGAATGCTCGCCACTAACCTCACAACAACTCCTGATGGGAATCGAAGCTCCTCCTCCTACTCCTAACCCGTCAGCCAACGGATTGGCTGCGGGCTTTTCCCTGCAACAATATAATGAGTTATGTGTAAGAGGTGTTGACTTTGAAAGTGGATCTTATAAGACTCACAAAGGAATCTTTGTGATCAGCCTGAGTCGATGGGTTATTGATGGCTGATCTTGTCAGAGGTAGATTGAAGAGATCAGATGATTTGTTGTTGCGCTTATATTGACAGCTGGGATGAATTTGTCATCCTATCTATTCCATTCCTCAAAAACCTGTAAATGATCAAGAGAGTTCATTCAGAATCGGAGTTAACAGATATAGATTAAAGGGATAGTTCACTCAAAAATGAAAATTTTGTCATAATTCACTCACCCTCATTTTGTTTCAAACAGATTCTTTCTTCTGTTGAACACAAAATACAATATTTTAAAGAATGTTGGTAACCAGACAGTTGACAGTAGCCATTGTCTTTATGTAACCCCTACACCCGGGTCCCACTCGACCCGCTCCGAGCGGGCCTCGAACCCGTGTTTCCGGCATGAGCGTCAGGCACTCCAACAAGGAGGCTAAAGACTGCAAAGCAGGCTAAAGTCCGTTACATTTACCAAATTACCAAAATTCTAAAAAATATGTATTCTTTGTTTAAGAATCTCCAACAGGTTTGGAACAACTTGAGGGTAAAAAAGTGGTCAACATTTCTTTTTGGGTAAACTATCCTTTTCACAAGAAAAACTTCCAAACATATTCTTGATGTTGGCAACGTCCCAGATAGCAAACTGACATTGAATCAACGTGGAAATATGACATCGAAACAACGTTGATCTGACATAGTTTTGCTCATCGAATTAACGTTGAACCAACGTCAGACGCGTCATTCTTTCAAAACTAACGGAAAATCAACTTGAAATCAACACGTTTCAACGTTATGAAAGCAAATCAATTTTCGATTTTCATTTAGCTTTGAAGAATGCTGCGTCTGACGTTGGTTCAACATTAATTCGATGAGCAAAATCAACGTTGTTTCAATGTCATGAGAGACGTCGTTTCCACGTTGATTCAATGTCAGTTTGCTGTCTGGGGTAGTATCTATAACCATAAAATAATTCTATAAACATAAAAGTAGCCTATATTGCTTTTACTGCTGCACGTTCAGACTCTAGTGCATATTCCTTCAGAAACCAATGGAGTGTGCCAGGTGTGGCTCTGCAGAGTCCTTCGAGAGCATAGTGTGACAAGGACAAAAGGACACAATGACATCCCTGAGGCTTAATCATTCAAGACAGTCTAGATTAGATATGCTTTTTTGGTCTTAAACTCATTGGAAAGTTTTATTGTATACTTCTGACCTACAGATGGAAACTTGATATGTTGCATTGTGTCTTTGCCAATGGCATAAAAACACAGACAAGGAGCTGTAGTACATTTTGAAATCATTACATCTCGCTTTGAGCTCAAGAAATCAATAAGGAACAGCTTTCTAAGAAATGGAAAGCACAACAAAAAACAGCAGGAATTCCAAATTTGTAAGTTAACTTAAATACAAATTTATTTGGGGGATGAAGTCAATCAGATTTTCAAATTAATGCATTAAACATGATTTATGTTAATCTAAAAATGTAAACTAAGCAATGTCTTAATGGTCAGAGCTGTTGTGTAAATGATTTACTTATGCAAATATATAATAATATTAATATAATGAATGCAAAAAGTAAATAAAAATGTAGTAAACGCAGAAATGTTTTTAAAAGAATTAAATAAATATTCAACCTGCAAAATAAATAATAGTTTGTTTAAAATGTGGGAATAAATACTGTATTTCATGGGATGGATCATAGAAGTATTCAGCACTCTTGGGGACTTTGGGACAATTATGGACAATTATCCTAGTTATGGACAATTTGTTCCTCTATGAGACACTTAAACTGCAGGTTTAGAAGTCAAAGAAGTTGATAGTGATACGAATGTGTCATGCAAACTTAAAGCAACAGAAGTGATGTAGTAGGCTATCTTTTAACATAACACAGCCTCAGACACAATCTAGTTTTATCGACTATATGCTGTAACGAAACTGCCCGACATATTGACAATGTTTAGGTGCAAAGGTGATGCACATATCACTTACGCTCAGTCGAGGAGCTGTCCATCACCGGATCATCAGGCTATCCGGCATCATCACTGGCTAGAAAGACATATAGCGACTTAAGACAAAGATATGATAAAATACATGATAATATACGGCATGAGTGAAAGAGATGGGCTGCATTGACTATCATCGTCATGATGTCACATACCTGTCAGATTACACGATTATATTGAGGAGCACGCAGAGCCTGAATCCCATGCTAAAATCAACAACACCTGGACAGATCTCTTTCTCTTCACAACAACCACCAGATCTCCAAAAAAAAAAAAAAAAAAAAAGAAAGAAAAGAAAAGAAAAAAAAACGGACGCGGATGCATTGACTTGTGCTTTACTGTTGAGCATCCCCGGCGTCAGTAGAGTTAATCTGCAGTGCGGGCGAGCCGTTTCAGCGTGTATCCGGGCACACACACCGGTTTGTTCCGCCTCTCGCCATTCCTCTCACTGACAAACCTCATACACTTCTCCAGTTCACACGATCATCTTCACACAGACCATCAGTTAACATGGGCATCGCTTGTTCTGCCTTGCACAATATCGTTAGTTCCATAGTGTATGGAAACGCATACGATAAAATAGACAATATGCTTAACCAAAAGGAAACAGAAACCATAAGGGTTATTTTGGCTGTAGCCTAGTTGCTGTGCATAAAAAATCCACCAGCACTGTTTCTATTCTATTCTATTCTATTCTATTCTATTCTATGTTCTATAGGCTATATCTCATGTATTATTTTTAATGTTCACTGTAGAGTTAAATTTGGGAAGATGTTTTGGGTATTGTGCAGTAGCTTTTATTTATTAATATATATATATATATATATATATATATATATATATATATATATATATATATATATATATATATATATATAAAGACCATTAAAGAGATAAATGAAAATTCTGTTATCATTTACTAAAATTATTTAAAATATTTTCCTTTGTGTTCAGCAAAAGAAAGAAACGCATACAGGTTTGCAACAACTTAAAGGTACGGAAGAGGATAGGGCCAAGCAATAATAAAAAAAATAAAACCATCTCGAGATTAAAGTCACCATAATGCAAAATTATGGGTTTGCTATGTGGGGAAATGTGCTGGTTACATTTGTTAGACATCCGCTGATTACTATTATTATATTATATATTAAGACCCTTGATTCTCACCTGACTATGGCTTTGTAAACTCTATCCATGATGTGGTTTATAATGGACTGTGATACAGAAACAGTGACAATGCTACACACTCTTGGCTTACTCTGGTTATTATCTGCTGTCTCAGATAACACAGTCTCATCCCAAAGAGTCATATAACTGACGTTTTGGGACGTATTTTGACCATACGTCAATATCCGCCTTTTTAGGGCCCCCTTAAACGTCGGTAGATGGCGATCCCGGGCCGTCATACAACTGACGCTTTACCTTTAACGTCAGTTAGGGCCGTTACATAGTCAACGCGAGCTACGCGAGAAAGCAACGCGAGTGACGCGAGCGACGCGCTTCCTTTCATAGTGTTAAAGCAGACGCAAGCGTCACGGGCGATGCGTAAAATGCAATACACCGGTCACGCAACAGGGGGTAGTAGATTTTTCACTGCAAACCTGAAAAAGCGATGAAGCTCGTGAAGGCGTGCGTGGCTCTCCACAACTTTCTGGCATCCACTGAACGTGCCAGATGCCCGCCACCTTTGTGGATGCGACGCCTGACACCGGAGAGGTCCAGCCTGGAGAGTGGAGTGGAGGCAGCACGTTGTTGGGGACCAGAACATGGTCGACGGACCACGGTTTTCGGTCGGCAGCAGCAGACCCTCCCGGAGAGCGGCACTTGTCAGGGAGCAGCTGGCTGATTACTTTTTATCAGATGCTGGCGTGTTTCCCCACCAATACAGTGTGCTACGATTGGGTAGCACTGACAAATAAATTGATAAAAGTTCGATTTGAAGCATGAGTTTTTATTATTATTTAACACTTTACACATTTTAACTTATTTGGTATTATGTGAAAACCATTACACATTTTTTATTATTTGGTATTATTTAAATTATGTAAAAACCATTACACATTTTAACTAATTTGGTATTTTAATTCATTAATTCATATCCATAAATCATTAATTCATATAACCAGGCTGGTAAATTTGTCACGGGCACTTTTCCCGTCCGTTTTCACCTGATTCTGTCTTTCCCATCGCGATTGCAACCTCTCTCCAGGCATTTTCCAACACAATTTTATTTGAGTGTACTAATTGTGGTGAACTGTCGTATAAATGCGGATGATATTAAATGCTGGTATAAGCTCGTATAATTATTCCTCCTCGCACGCCATTGTATTCAAACCTTCTTCTTCTGTTAACATGATATATTTGAATTAATGTACAATTCTTGCAATGTCGCCCCCACCGATAACGCATAGTATTGCGTGCGTCAGTGCGTCGCGTATCAAAAACAGGGACGACACATTTGGCTACGCATCGACGCATAATGGCGGCCAAAGCGTAGCGATGCATAGCCATGCGGACGCGTATGCGTACCGATGCGTTGACTATGTAACGGCCCTTAGGTGACGGGTTAGGTTTAGGGTTAAGTTTAGGTATGGGGTAGAGTTAGGATCCCATAACCTCATCTACCGACGTTTAAGGGGGCCCTAAAAAGGCGAATATTGACGTATGGTCAAAAGACGTCCCAAAACGTCAGTTATATGACGATTTGGGATGAGACCGGGTTGTCTCAGACGACGATATGTTCCTCCCGTTTTAGCCACCGTAGCTTCTACGAAAGAGATGGGTGAGCAGTGGGCTGAGCCCTTAGTGCAACTCGCAACCGAACCGCTAGATGCCGCAAAAAAATCACACACTGCACCTTTAAAAAAAGTTGCTGCCTTTCACAAGTACAATCAACTAGAATGTGTAAGTCTTTCAACTTAAATTACATTAAATGGACTTAAAAATAAGTTGAATATTGTATAACAAAAAAAGTTGGAAATACTTTTGATAGGCTATATTATAGCTATATAGTACTAAGACACCCGCAGTACTAAGATGTTTATTAATCCCTTTGGTCTTCATATTCGCTAAATGTGAAAAATAAAAAGCTCAACCAAAAATCTCATTATTTACACAACAATTCGAAAAAGTCATACAGATTTAAAACAAATTAGGGTGAGTAAATTAAGATTTGATTTTTGACGTGAACTAGGTTAAATCCATGTCAGTGTTGTCTATTTTGCTCTTTTTATTCAAGACTCCATCTGCACTTGGACTAAAACCTGAACAAACATATCAAGCTGTAACGTCACTATCTGGAATAATTTATATTCACATTTCACATAAACAGCCTTTAAAATTTTATTGATCTACAACAACATCAAAAGATGCACATTGTTTATACAAAAATAAAATCTAACATAGTAAAAAGGGTTGCACGCAACAAGGTAGTGAACAGCATATGGTCCATTAAAGTGTGTTAGAATTATTGAATGCATCATATATTAGGTCCCCTACCCTTTCAACATCCAACCTATGGGATTTCTAAATAATGCATTAAAGTGCTGTGGATTGTACAAGCATGGTGTGTTCACCATTTATTTGCATATAAACTTGCTCAGTCGTTCGACCATCAAATATGATTCTATTTTCAAACTGGAAATGTAGGCTACAGTATATTCATGATTGTGAGACACAAGTTTAAGGATTTTTACAATGGACTTTCAAAACCGATCCCTCATTTTGACTTTATTAAACTGTCATTCAATAATCTTTGACAGACACTACATTTTAAAAATCTGGGGTTGTTAATTAATTTATGTTTTTTTAAGGATGTCTTTTAAACTCAGTGGCATTTATTTGATTAAAAATACAGTAAAAACAGTAACATTGTGAAATATTATTACAATTTAAAATAACTGTTTTCTATTTCCATATATTTTAAAATACATTTATTCCTGTGATAGCAAAGGTGAATTTTCATCAGCAATATCTTTGCCACATGATCCTTCAGAAATCATTCTATTGATTTGGTGCTCAAGAAACATTTATCATCACTATCAATTTTGAAAACACTTGTGTTGCTTAATATTTTTGTAGAAACTGTGATACTTTTAAAAAAAAAATGTTCTAAAAAGTTCAAATAAACAGCATGTTTTTGAAATAGACATATCTACTAGTTTTATATAAAAATGTGAATGTCTTTCCTTTTATTTCAGATCAATTTATATATCTTTGCTAAATAAAAGTATAAATTTCTTAAAAAAAATAATAATAATAAATTCTTACTATAAAATCCCAACCCCAAACTTTTAACCGGTGGTGTCCGACTCTTAAATGTAGCAGATGACAGAACTCTTAAGTTTAATACCCCGAAAAGTGATGCTCTTCCAACTGACATTCTCATATCTTCCATATTTGTACATTGACTTTTTTTCTCAGTGTACTGTGTTTCCTTCTGTTGCCTGTATCTTTGGTCACTGGGCCATTTGGACCACCACTGCTTTCCAGGCCTTTTCTTTGTCAAAATCCCTTAGTGTGCCATTTGATGTGTGTTGCTGTAAGAAAAGAATGAGATGGTGGAAAAGAAATGGTCCAACAACCACCTTGAGATCTTTCTTTGTTAATTACAACATCCCCCACGTGTGTTTTCACAGAATAAAAGGAGCGAAACAACTCTACCATACCATTCCAGTGTGATTGTGTTTCATGCTACATTTGGCACCGTACAGTACCGTTTTCCTCTATTATTATTTTTTTGCTAACATCATCAGCAGTTATAGTCACATATAACAACATTTCATGTATTCTTAAACTGACCCATCAGTCATAGGGTGTATGTTTGTTTGTGTGTTTACCTCGCAGTGCTTTTTCTGTAGCGTGTCCCATTCAGTACGTCCCATGCGGAGCTGGCTCTTGTAGGAAGCACACTTTATTACGGTGGCTAACATCAGCACCGCCTGCACCAGCAGCAGTCCCATCAGGACAAGCAGCAGTATGTCATATGTCTGCTGCATCAACAACATACATTCACATACTTAGCACGCTTCAAACGACCTTCAAGATGGGTGTGAAGGTGAACATGTATCTGAATTCCAGAGTTTAAAGGGATGGTTCACCCAGCCAAAACCTGTATGCTTTTTTTATTCTGAACTCAGCAGTGTTGTTATTGTAAATAATTAAAAATGTTTTTCTGTAAGATGAAAAAAAAAGAAGATTTTTTAAAGAAATTAAAAAAAAAATCTAAATGTTGCCTTGGCAACTAAATTAAATAAACAAGTTGAAGTTGTAGTATTAGAATGACTAAAATAAAAAATAAAGAAATGGAAATAGATTTAAAAATAAAGAACAGCTCTCAATTAAAATACTGTTTGGTCACAAAACACGTCAGAAACAATGATGTTCGATGATGTCATTGATACCCAACATGATTTCACAACTGCAGCGCAGAAGAATATTTTCATTACAGAGTAATATTTTCAATATTTAATGAATTTTCCCTCTCAGGGAACCAGGGTTACATACGTAACCTGAGACTTTTTTCATAGAAGAATAACATCATATTTTGGAGAACAAGAGGGCAATGTTATTTTGTTATTATTTATCTATTTATTATTTTGAATTACCT